AGATTCAACAGCAGTGGCTTCCAGCCTTGGCTAAACATTGGAATCAACTGGAGAGCTTGAAAAAATACTGGTGCCTGGATCCCAGCCCCAGAAATTTTCATTTGGTTGGTTTTCGGTGCTGCCTAGGCCTTGGGACTTTTAAAAGCTGTCTTTGGAGATTCTTACAAGCAGCTGAGGATAGAAATCACTTGTCTTGCAGCACCAGGTTACATTTGATCCCAGGGCACAAATTCCAGCCGTTCTTCCTTGTTCTGTAACCCATCTTGGTATCCTCGGTTGCCAATAACTTCTCTCTCTCTCTCTTTTTTTTTTTTTTTTTTTTTTTTGCTTAATTTAGTTTGAGTTAAATTTCTGTTATTTGCGGCCAAAAGAAGTCTAACTAAGAAACTAAAAATACTCTGTAATCACAGCTAACATTGATTTAGCCTCAGTGATGTGCAAGGCACTGTTTGAAGTGCTTACTTGCATTAACTTGTTTAATTTAATCCTTACAGCATCCCTATAATTTGAAAGCCATTATTGTCCCTATTTTACAGGTGAGGAAATGAGACATCAAAAGATTAAGTGGCTTGCTAAAATGTACACTGCCTATGAAAGCTGACCTGGAATGTGAACCAGAAATTGTCCTTAACCAAATCACCTCACTGTCTCTCAAGGTAAAACTAAGTAAGGAGGCAGATTCTCTGCATTAAACCCCAAAATGGCGTCTTCAAACAGCCGTAATATAAGTGCTTTATTAAAATAATTTAAATTTTTTTCTCTTTTATAGAGACAGGGTCTCACTTTATTGCCCAGGCTGGGTCTCAAATTCCTGGCCTCAAAAGACCCTCTTGCCTTGGCCTCCCAAAGTGCTGGGATTACAGGCATGAGCCAACACGCCCAGCCGTGAGTAATTTTTATCAGGAAGAAGCTTTTGGCTGTAAGAACAGAAAGTTCCAACTCTACCAACTTGCGCACATATTTAATATCTGGAGGTAGGGCAGTTCCGGGACTGGCTGCTGCAGCGGCTCATTTGAAGCCATCGGGTCTCCAGCTTCCTTCCCCCTTTCTGCTCTGCCCTGCCCAGTGTGCTGGCCTCTTTCTCAGGCTGGTTGCCCCCAGCTGGCAAGGGGGCTGCAGACCCCAGACATCGCATTCTCATTCAACAACCACAGGCAGAGAAAGCTGCTGTTTATTCACCTGTGTCTCTTCTTGCCAGGTATTAAGGAAACATCTTGTGCAAAAGGCCTCCGGTGGAATTCCCCTTGTGTTTCATTACAGGAAAGGGGGAATGGGAGCACCAGGATTCACTTGGGTCCTTGGGGCATTGTGAAAATGTGAAGGGGGTCATTTTTGGCTGGCATAATAATTCAAGGAGGGCTATGACCATGTGGTGGGCCGAGGCTAGAGATGGTAGACAACCTGCAATGTGTGGGATGGTCACACTCTGTGACCTGCACGATTTTTGAATGTCCCGTTGAACATTTCCACAAGTGAAAAATCTTCAAAATGATCTGAGCTAAAATCAAACTCTCTCTCATATATAAACCCAAAGCATTTAAAAAACACACTGTATTTTCCAGGAAAGCAATTACTGTGCACATCGAGAGAAGAGCTTGCTTTGTTTTGTTTAGAACTTTTCCAGGAGTTGTTCACTGCTTTGGAAAATCACATTAGCAATGTCAACATTACTCATGGAATTTGAGCCTCCAGTACAATACACCCAATGGGCCTGCCCCAGTGACTGCCACATTCGCTGTGATTCTAGGTATGGATCCAGACACCTGCAATGTTGTTTCTTTTAGCGCAATCCTGCCAAGCGTTTGCATTTTGAGATACAGGTTGTTTTATTGTACATTATTTCTCTTTTTTAATTCTACTTCATAATAGTTATTTAATTTTTAAAATTATGTGTACAGATAGTTTATGTTGTATGCAAATTTTATTTCAGTGTAGTAAAAGGGACATTATAAAATATTTGTGGGGCTGGGTGCAGTGGCTCATGCCTATAATCCCAACACTTTGGGAGGCTGAGGTGGTAGGATTCTTGAGCCCAGGAGCTCAAGACTAGCCTGGGCAACACACCAAGACCCTGTCCTTACAAAAAATTAAAAAAAAAAAAACAAAAAAAACATTAGCTGAGCCTGGTGATGTGTGGCTATCGTCCCAGCTACTCAGGAGGCTGAGCTGGGAGGATCATTTGAGCCCAGGAGTTTGAGGCGAAAAAAATCTAAAAATATTTGTTATAAAAAGAGGGTACTGGGTCCAACAGGGAGGAGAGTCACTGTTTGGACCAGTGAAGATTGTCTCCTGGGACCTCGGATGGGACTAACCTCCTTGCAGCCTATACCTAGGCCGAGGAGGGTGAGTACCAGGACGGGCAGGGTTCTTTGGGGAAGCAAGAAGTGGGAATTGGCCAGGAGGTGGCAAGAACATTGTCTGCTCCAGGCAGGTTCTATCCAGTGCCATCCAGGAGCTACCTGGATTCGGTAGCTGCAGCTTTCCAGGCAGGAGAGAGCAGTTTGTTGTTGAGAAAGACACAAATCCTCAGGTCCACCATGGCCTGGATAAAATGCCACTGACTGAATCCACCTTCCTTGCATTTTATTCTAGCTCCACTGAACAGTCTTCTGATTACTAATGTGGCATCCTGGCTACAATTTTTTGTTTTGTTTTGTTTTTTAGACAGAGTGTTGCCCAGGTTGGAGTGCAGTAGCACAATCTTGGCTCACTGCAACCTCTGCCTCCCGGGTTCAAGATATTTTCCTGCCTCAGCCTCCCAAGTAGCTGAGAGTACAGGTGTGTGCCACCGCACCCAGCTAAATTTTGTATCTGAGGTAGAGACGAGGTTTCACCGTGCTGGCCAGGCTGGTCTCGAACTCCTGACCTCAAGTGATTTGCCAACCTCGGCCTCACAAAGTGCTGGGATTACAGACATGAGCCACCACACCTGGCCCTGGCTACTTTGATACTAGGAGGAATTAGCCAGGTGGCTCCCAATGCTGGTCACTGATGTTCTGATCCCTGAGAAGGGGCATTCTCTGTTGTGAACAGATGTACTGGTGCTATGATCAATGCATTATTCTCTATGGATCTGGTTAAGTCAGTAGCTCAGAACTGACCTATTCTGGGTGTCCTGACAAAGTGGAGTTCTGGGATTTACAAAGCTGAATGGGAAAAAGACCACCTCCAGGTGCTGCCACCTGAAAAGGCCCTTCCTGGGTAACTGCTGGCTTCTCTGGATGGCAGGGGCTTTCAAACTTCTGGCTGTGCAACCTCTCAAAAGAATATGAAATGTCATACAAATGCCCACTCTGCAGAGCCAGTTAAAGGGGAACTCTGCTACCTGGGGGCTGGGGTGGGAGGCCTGGAGACAGCTCCCATACATCCTGAAAGCCTCTCCCTCTGATGGGTGAGGGCTTCCTGAAGATGGACAGGCTCTGACCGCTTTTGTCCTCTCTCTGAGTCACAGGATGCAATCTTGGCCTCAGCCATCTCCCAGTTCCTCCGTGGGGGTGGTAGAGGGAGCCACCCACACAGAAACTCCTACTCAGGGACTTAATTCCCCTCAGCGACACCCCTGGGGGTGCACCCAGGTGGGGTGCCTGTATTCACTGCGGAGGTAGAAGGACTGTGAGCAGGCTTTCCTGGTTAGGCTCTGTGTTAGTCCGTGTGCATTGCTATGAAAGAGTGCCTGAGACTGGGTAATTTATAAAGAAAGGAGGCTTATTTGGCTCGTGGTTCTGCAGGCTGTGCACAAAGAATAGGCCCAGCACCTGCTTCTGGTGAGGCCTCAGGAAGTTTCCAATCACGGCAGAAGGCAAAAGGAAACCAGAGTATTACATGGAGAGACTGAAAGCAAGAGAGGCAGGAGGTACAGGCTCTTCTTAAACAACCAGATCTCGTGTGAACTCAGAGTGAGCGCTCACTCATCATCATGAGGACAGCACTAAGATATTCATAAGGGTTATGCCCCTGCAACCCTAACACCTCCCACTAGGCCCACCTCCAACGCTGGAGGGCACATTCCAGCAAGAGATTTGGAGGGGACAAACTTCCAAACCATGTCAGGCTCTTTCCTAATCATTTTTCTTTTGCATTTTAAAAGTGAAGAGGAACGAAATCTTCAGGCTAAGCCACAGTTAAATGGTCTGTGGAGGAACAGTTAAAGCAAGCATCAAAATATTAAAGACATAAAGAGCTTTCACTAATACCAGGTCATCAGTAGGTCAGGCCACTGGCTTTCCAACCTTCATAAAAAAGGGAAGGGGCGATTTCCTGTTCAGTTCTGAAGCGAGCATGGTGCAGCCTCACTGCATGGAGAATGCCGGAAAACCAGGCCTCTTAAGCTCAGAAACAGTCTGTGGCCCCAGCAAGGCCCAGGGCCTGGGACCTCAAATGCAGAAGAAATGCCTGATAGCCACAGGGCCCAGAGGGGCCCGCAGCACTGGGATACAGAGATGGCACTAATTCCCAGGGCGGTGGCGACCACCAGGGCATGCCCAGGAGCTCAGGGGTCTTGGCGGTACCAGGGAAGCTCCTTCCTTCACCCAGCAAGCAGCTGAGGCTGCGGAGACCTGGTACCTGCTCACGAACATGCATCTGACAAATACTTATCATTGAACACCTACAGTATGCTGAGCTGTCCCAAGTGCTCTAGATGGGCTGGCTGTGGTTAGAACAGAAAGCCTTGCCCTGAAGGACTGGGTGGACCTCAGAAATACCTCTTAGAAGTGTGAGAGTTCACTTTATGCTTTTCTGTGTACAAATGGGCTTGCATTGCTTTGAAAATTAGGAAAAAAGTTATTAAAGAAAGTTTTTAGAAATTGTTTTTGAATAAATATCCACAAGGAAATAGAAACATGAAAAGGAAATACCAGCTAATTACACATCCGCAAGCGCAGTGGACTCTGTACTCTGATGAGGCCTCAGGAGGTGTGGTCAGAGAATCAACACCAGATGGTCCTAGAAGAATTGATTGTGAACTGTTATTGTCAAAGAAATCATAGGAGAACTGTAACTGTTGGTCAATCTGGTGATGTTTTATTCATGCACTTCATTATTCATTCAAGAAACTTTTTGTGTATTAGATTCTGAGAATATAGAGACGTGGGCAAGTTACCATCCTGTCCTCTAGGACCACACATTTCTGTTGCAGGGGCAGATACGTTAATGACTACAAACAGCAGAATGTTGTAGGTGGCATGGGAGAGTTGGGGACTGGGTGTGGAAGGGACCACAGGAGAGAGATGACCGTTTTATCTTGGCCCACAACACAGAGTCTGTTACACAGTAAGCTCTCACTCCATTACTGAACAAATAGTGTTCGGGCAAAGCTTCATGGATTTGAGAACCTGGTAATTACACATCTCTCATCTATGATGAAAGATGATAGCTTTGCTTCTTGCATCTGTTCCAATTGCCTTTGCTCTTTTCTTGGCAACATCAATAACTTTTAGATGTTGTGTGACCAATGCTGGTCTTGTTTTCATCACATCACCATGTGTCCTTGCATTCCTCACAATAGTTCTTTATTTCATTCTGCTCTCCTTCCATTGCTACCTGCTCTTTCTTCATAATTTTTCACTCCTACTTCATAAAAGCCGTGTCTTCTTATGTCCTAAGGAAGACGCAAAACAGTATTTTAGAATTCTCTTCTGGTTCACGGAGTACATCACTTTCAGAAATAGGACTTTCCTCTAGACTTCTGAATGACATTCCATTTTCTTTAATCTGCAGTACTGCAGAGCTTATCCTGCAAGAAGGGAAATCTGTTCAGATCTACTGGTTGCTAAAAGACACAGTGTGATTTTCTCTTGACTCCACTCACCATCCATTTGGACGTTTGTGGAATCTCATTCTTAGATACACAACTGGAAGATAGTGTAGTGTGCAGAGCTTGGTGCAATTTCCAATGACTACAGAGCGTGTATTCCTTTCGTGTAGTTTTGTAGGATTGAGGCAGAATCTTCTCCTACAGCTAATATCTGTCTGGTTGACATTCTGAATAAATAAAACGTGCATGCACACACACACACACACACAAACACACACACACGCAACTGGTCCCCAGAATATACTGTTCCCAGGGCTTTTCCTGGTTCTGTCATCACCCAAAACCTCACTTTTGTTGGAAATATGCTTCCCCCAGCAATTGACCTATCGCCAGCCTATGTCTGACCACCTCCACCACCATGCACATATGTACCCAACTTTCTGCACTTTTGTTTTCTTAGAATTTGTTTATTAAATGGGCATTGCAATTTCTAAATAAATGCAGAAAGAGGGGAATTGTTGGTAAGGTCAAGAGGAGAAGAATGGAGTGCTGCTTTGAAACACACAATCCGAGCAATTGAGGGATGGATTCCCAATTTTTTTGGTTGATCCAGACCCTGGGCTTCTAAGCCAGAGGTAAAAAAAAATCTAGAAAGAAATAAGATGTCTTCCTTCTTGGCATTATAGGCCTCTTCTTTTGAGATGATGGAACATGTACTGTTTCTGAGTTTGATTTTGAAGTTTGCCTTATAGAACTTAGAATCTACATTAGAGTCTACATTTCTTCCATATTTGGGCAGTGGATTTTCCAATTGTTTTAACTTCTGGTGGGGTTACGTGCTTTTACTCTTTGTGCATTCTAAATAGGTATTTTAGTAGAAAGTTGACAAAGGTTATATTAGGTACTGATAAACAGATTCAATTTAAAACCAGAATCCCTAATCTATTACATATTTATTCATCCATTGATTCAACCAACTAATATATATACATACAAATACATATATGTATATATACATACATGTATATATGTGTGTATATGTATATATACATACATGTATATATATGTGTGTATATGTATATATACACATATATAGATGTGTGTACATATACATATATGCATATATATGTATATAGTTTTTTGTTTTTGAAGGTCTTGCTCTGTCAGCCAGGCTAGGGTGCAGTGGCACAATCATAACTACTGTAGTCTTGAAAACTCCTGGACTCAACCTGTCCTCCTGTCTCAGCTTCCTGAGTAGCTGGGACTACAGGCATATGCCTCCACACCCAGCTAATTATTTTATTTTATTTTGTAGAGTTAGGGCCTCACTACTTTGACCAGGTGGCTCTTGAACTCCTGGCCTCAAGTGATCCTCCTGCGTTGGCCTCCTAAAGTGCCGTGATTATAGATGTGAGCCACCACTCCCAGCCTTCCAACTAATGTTTATTGAGTTCCAATTATTTGCCTGGTCCTATAGTAGTAAAAACCCCACCCTGTCTTCATGAAGCTTATTGTCTAGTGGGTGTTTCAGGCTCCAGGTAATTCCATACAATATGATAAATGCTTCCAGATTAAGTACAAGGAGTGCCTTCTCTGCCCTACACTCTGGGCTATGAACCAGACGTCATGGGAGAAAACACTTGGGACGATAGGTTGAAGGTTCTTGATAACATGTTCATAGGTTTAGCCTTTGAAGCTGTGAACCTTTAGATGGGGGAGCCCCTGAGGAATTTAGTGCAAGGAAGTGAGTGACTTGTTGAAAGCTGTGATTTAGGAAATTACTCCAGTAGCCAAGTAAGGGGTGAACTGAGATGGGAAGAGAAGGGGAAGCAGTAAGGCCAGTCAAGGAGGCTATCTCAGGAGGCCAGTGGGGATGCACTGAGAACTTGAATTAAGAAGAGTAGAAACAGAGAGGGCAAGGCATTTAAAGGATCTGGCAATCAACTGCATGTGGATGGCAAGGAGCAGGAATACTGGCGGTGACACCAAGATTCCAGGTGCCTGGGGAAATGCGGGTGCCATGCACCCAGAAGGGACAGCTCAGAGCAGACGCAGCACTGGGAAGAGATGGCGATGGTGGCTTTAGACATGTTGAGAAGGTAATCCCTACCTGTCTGCTCTTTCTTTCACTTTTTTATTCAGCTTATTAACTTTAATCTTAGGTTCTAATACTTGAGGCATTGAAAGTTTCTACAAAGAAAAATCTAAATAAACCCCCTTGAAGAAGATACGAAGACTGAATCAACACTAATTATGCTAACTCATCGCTTGATTCCATATGCTCTGGGGTCACATGTGGCTAGCTGGTGCTTTTCATCATCAATATGCCCACCCATTCCAAGCAATTAACTTACTTTGCATTCCCAAAGGGTAGGTCTCAGTTGTAATTTTCCATATGCAGGCAGTGGGCCAGATATGTAGGGGCCTCTGCCCAAACCACAAGGAGTATCAACTGTCAGGACAGAAACAGTATTCCAGAAATCTGATCATTCAGTCTTCAATATTCAAAAACTCACTTATTTGAAGAGAGAGGGCAAGCATAAACTTGGCACCGCTTTAAAGTTATTAAAATCTGGTTCGATTCTTCAGTGTGTGGATTCCCAGGAAAATTCCACTCTGATTTGCCAACCTCTTAGGTCTGTGGGTTATAGTAAAAGAGAAGCTGCAGATTAGTTCCGATTAATTTCCATCATGAGAGTCAATTCTTGCTTTTCAGGGAGAGATTAGGGAAGGAATGACATGGATAATTAAAATCCACAGATAGCACAAACACCCAATGTAACTAGCAATTTCAAATCCTCCTCCACTGAATTTTTCTTATTAGAGGTGTCAAGTAGCTAGGCTCAGCCCACCTTTGGGGGCTGGATCTAACAAAATGTGAACATATCTGCAGGCAAGCAGGTGGGAGCAAGAAGATGAACAATGAGAAGCTGGGGGTTGTTGGCCTTCTGAGATTGAAAATCAGCCAATCTTGCCCACTCTCTGATGGTGTCATTTAGAAAATCACATCAGCTCTGTTAGTTTACGTTGTGGGCTGCCAGGCAAGATTTTTAGAAAGGCCGGCTTACTTACTCTTTGTTCGTCATGGAAGAGCAGCTCACTGATCAAGAGCCCCACCCTTGTGGAGAATGGGTTTGCAGGAATTGCAGGCAGAAGGAGGTGACATGGCAGAAGCGGACCTCCAAGAGCACAGGCCTTTCTTATTTGCCTCTGACCTAAAACTCTGCCAGTTTCAGCTATTGATGTGACATGGGCCCAGCCCAGCTTGCAGCTGCTACCACTTTAGATTTTCTTAGATGCAGCCTTACGCAGGCTTCATAGGGCCTCCCATTTGCCTGGCATTCGAGGCTGCACATTATCTAACCCAAATCACACCTTTATTCTCACTACTCTCCAAACCGTACACCACCTTTGGCCAGGTTCACCCCCTGGTGGGTAATATATCTGTATTTCTCACTATCTTGTCTTTGCTCCTGTCATTCCTGAACCAAATCCCCCCACCCCTGAATTCTCCACCCACTCCTCTTGCTGGAAATGGAACCACTCTTCAAGGTCCAGCCCTTCCTTCAAACCTTCCCTGTTTCCCTCAACTTGAAGTGATCATTCCCTCCTATGACAGCACTTCAGTGGTATGTCTTTGATGACACCACATTATGCTTTCTATTATATCACGGTAGCTTATATACCTTATGACTTTAATGTTCTCTGAAATGTGGGTCATGACCCATTAGTGAGCTTTGAAATCACTTTAGTGGGTTGTGACCTGAATTTTAAAAAATGAAGTAGAATAGAGTAGAATAGAACATTTTAGAGTACATTACACATAAACATATTTCCCTCTTTGGTTTATGATCAAAAAGCTTGAAAGTCACTGCCTCAAGTAGTAGCGATTTTTTCAGCTTTTATATAACAGAAAGCCTTGATCCAACCAGCTTAAATAACAAAGAATGTATTATCTTACATAATGCAAAGTCTGGAGATAAGGCAGCTCTAAGTTTGGTTTATTAGCAATTTTTTTTTTCTTAGATCTACCTCATTTGTCCTATTAACAATTTATCAGCAGCATCGAGGACTCAGACTTTTGCCATCTCTGCCGTCTTTCTAGCTACCTCCTCTCCTGTTTGCCAAATGGCTGTAGGACTTCCTTGCATCATAACAACATCCACAGAAAAAAGAAGCTCTGTATTCTTTGGGTCTCTATTTATCAGCAAAGAAAGCTTTCCTAGAACTCTCCCTACCCCCAGATCTTCTATATTGCTCTTTGATATAAAGTGAAATCAAATGAATTACATGCCTAGTCAGGAGTGGCAAATCAAAATTAGCCTAAAGCAAAATTAGTTTAGACCAGTCTAAGAGCACTGTCCATGAGCATCTCTCTGGTTCTACTGATCAGGGAGAAGGGGTGATTGACGGATCTGGATTTGGGGTAGGCAAGCATAAGTATCTTCCAGCCACACACAAGGTGCATCTCAGGAGGGCCAGGGTCCCTTTCTCTGCAATGCTTCTCACGTAGCAAGTCTAGACAGTCACCTCCACTTCCAGTGATAAATGAAATCAATCACTTTGCCTCAAAGTATGAATATTCATGGGATGCAGGGACCAAATATCCAATTTGAGATACTAGAGGCATTCTGCAGACATAGCTCACGATTTTTGTTCCTGTATAATTCACCAGAGGTTAGCATTTTTTTCCAGGTCTTAATTTTTCTACTGAATTATCAAGCGTAAAGGGCTAGATTAACAACATTGTACATTGTAATACAATTTGAATAATAAGATACATATTTGTCACAATGCAGATGGCAACTGAAGGTTCACAGATGGAATTGTGGCTCTCGAGATGAGATGGTGAGCGTGTGGCGGTGGGTGTGGAGAGAGGCGGTATCAGAGGTGGAGAGACATTACGTCATCCCAGATATGGGGTTTCTTTGGGAACTCTGGCAGGGTTATTGCTGAATCATTCCGTGAGGCAAATTACTGGTGTGTTAGCTGGACAAAGCTCACTGTAATTATGCCCTTGTGTGTTCCACCACTCCCCTTGGCATTTCTCTGCTTATGCTGCCATTTAAGGCCAGACTTAACATGAACACATAAAATCATATCTGCAAGAGTCAGTGGCAGAGAGGATAAAGGCAGTGCTGTTTTTCCTTTCTTGAATACACGCACGTGTGCATGTGTACATGCACATATACAGACACACACATATCCCTTATCAGAGAAACCACAGGTTCAGAGGACTTTGAACTGTGGAAAAGCTTTTGCTTCTGAGATAGTTAGAATCTTTTTGCTTTCTCCATTAAAATGCAAGATCCTCCTATCTGCCCAGCAGATAAAACACGACTGTGAGTGCCTTGCAATTCCTTGAAGGCTGCCTTGCGCTCGCTCGGGAGTACCAGACAGACCTCATCTCACTGCCAGACACTGGGTGCTGTCGATGCACCTGGTCGGCCAGTCAGGCCCAGGATCGGAAGGCAGCAGGCTCGGATTTCACTCTTGCTTAGATTGCTAACTTATGACCCAGTTGTTAGGCTGTGTTGGGTCAGTGGGCCCTAGGCACAGTCCCAACTCTGCTAGAGCTTGCTTAACTTTCCATGTTCAGTTTCAGGGGCTTCACTTTAAGAAGGTCCTTGGCAAACTGGGCAGCATACTGGCTAGAACGGGCAGCATGTGAGATGTCCGGAAACCATGAAGAAACAACAGGAGTAATAATTATAATTGTATAAGGCTTTCCATTGCATCATCCCATTGGATTTACTCAATCTTTTTTTAATTTTTATTTTTAAACAGGGTCTCACTCTGTCACCCAGGCTGGAGTACAGTGGTACAATCATAGCTTACTGCAGCCTTGACCTCCTAGGCTCAAGCGATCCTCCTGCCTCAGCTCCTGAGCAGCTGGAACTACAGGTGTGTGCCACCACGCCTGGCTTGATGTGCTAAATCTTGCAAGGTATTTACACTTATTCTAAAGAGATTCTAGAGACCTTAGATGGGAGAGACTGAGGTTGGTGCCCAGGAACCTTCTTCAGTAGATTGTTTAACAGATGGCTTGGGACAGATTGGAGAAGGAAGTGGTCACTACAGAGGACTGCCATGGCTTCACTCTCATTTCCTTTCTTCAGCATGACCCTGTAACTGATTATAAGAGCTAATATATATAAAGTGCTTTCTACGTGCCCAGCACTATGCTAAGTGTTTCAAAGCATTTAAGCTTCATAACAAACTGTGAGGTGGGTGCTGTTATTATTTCTATTTATAGATGAAGAAACTAAGCCTTGGAAGCAGACGCACCTGCATTTCTGTTTGTCACTGTTCCTTCTGTTCCTTAAAAGCCTGGCTTGTTCTCATTCTTCAAGACTCACTTCCTGGTCATCAGCGAGGCTTTCCCTGCCCACCTATCTAGTAGCCCACTGCTAACTCCACGGCCCTGGCAAAACTCACCCATGTCCATCTCCTTCATAGGACATATTAGAATCTGCAGATATCTTTAAAAAAAATTTTTTTTAAGAGATGGGGTCTTGCTCTGTTGCCCAGGCTGGAATGCAGCGGTGCAATCACAGCTTACTGCAGCCTCAAACTCTGGGGTTGAAGCAGTCCTCCCACCTCAGCATCCCAAGTAGCTAGGACCACAGGTGTGAGCCATCATGCCCTGCTAATTTTAAAAAAAATTGTAGAGACAAGGTTTTACTATATTGCCCAGGCTGGTCTCAAACTCCTGAGCTCCAATTTTCCCACCTTGGCCTCCCAAGGTGCTGGGATTACAGGCTTGAGCCAAGGTATTTTATTTACTTATTCACTGGCTTATTTTTGGTCTCTACTATTCAGACATAAGTTTGGTGAGGACAGGGACTTTGTCCCTCCTGTTTGTCCTATGCTGGTGTCTAGCAGGGTGTCCAGAATATAATAGGAACTAGATAAAATATTTGAATGGATGAATGAGCGCATGCAGGAACGAATGTAATTCAATAATGGGATTTGGGCCCAAGCTTGTCTCATGCCAGAGACCAAGGGCTCAATGCCCCTCTGTTCTGCTCCTATGTTTTACTCACTCATCCATTCAACAAGCTTCGTTAAATTATCAACAAATGCCAGGCACTGAAGTAAGTGCTGGAGAATCCAATAAGTAAGATACAGTCTCTGGCCTTGAAAAACTCACTTCCGAAGGATGGAGGTACAGGTTGGAAGTAGAAAGTGGACATACCTTATAATAGAGTTAAGTACAAAGTGACATAGCAACAAAAAGAAGGGACTACCTAACTGCCCCTGCCAGACTGGGAGGACTTCTGCAGAGCTGGTTACTTTGAACCTGACCTTGAAAGAGGATTCTGGGCTGTTGGGAAAGGAGCCCGTGTAACTAGAGACAGGAAGGAGAACACATGAGTGTCTAAGGACTGGCGTGGGACTCTTCCCGTCCTATACTGTTGAGTCACATTTTGATCTCTGTACCCAGTTGTTAGGAGGGTCACTGACTAACTGACCATTTAATGGGAACGTCATGAAGGGGAATT